ACCCCTCACCTCCCCTCTCCTGCCCGGATCCCAGACCCAACACCTCCCCTCCCCTCTCCGGCCCGGATCCCAGACCCAGCACCTCCCCTCTCCCACCGAGCCCGGATCCCAGACCCCTCACCTCCCCTCTCCCACCGAGCCCGGATCCCAGACCCCTCAGGACCCCTCACCACCCCTCATCTCCCCTCAGCTCCCCTCAGCTCCCCTCAGCTCCCCTCACCTCGCCGCTCCTGCCCGCGCTCCGGCCCTGCCGGCACCCAGCGCCTCCCGCCGCGCCGCGACGCAACGCAAGCGCCAAAGCCGCTCCCCGAGCAATCGATGCGCCGAGCGCCGATAGCAGCGATGGGATGTGGCGGGTTCGAGAACAGCGGGATGAAAGGGATAAAACGGGATAAAAGCGAGAAAGGGATGAAACGGGATAAAAGCGAGAAAGGGATGAAACAGGGTGAAAGCGAGATAGGGATAAAAAGAGATGAAAGTTTGTTGCCGGCTCCAAGGAAATCACAGCAAGGCTTGAAGCGCGGCGAAATGGGCATTTCTTGCCTCAGCGTTTAGCTCGGTGCTGTCATCACAGAGCGATAAGCAAAGATAAATGTGATTTTTTTTTTTTTCCTGTCTCTTCACAGCAGCTTGGAATTGGAAGGCACCTTAAAGGTAATCTAGTGAAACCACCATGCCGTGGACGTGGACGCTTTCTACTAAACCAGATTTCTCAGAGCCCCATCCAGCCTGGCCTTGAACACTGCAGGGATGGGACAGCCACAGCTTCCCTGGGCAACCTGTGCCAGTGTTATAAACCCTCACAATGTTATAAACACATATTGTACTGTTGGCTTTTGCAGATATTGTATTGTAAATCATAATACAATGTTGCTTTTTTTTTTGTAGAAGTAGCTTAATTATGCATACATAATAGGGAAATAATCACTGGTTTATTTTTCTTTTGTGACTTAGATATAGTTGTGATATAGCTGATGTTGTTTTAGAATACTTGTGATTGACTTGCAACAACTGAAATATTGTAGATTGTGACTTAAACATTTCCATAAACGACTTTTTGCATATTATAGCAAAACTATGCAAAAGCTGCGGAGAGGGCTGCTAAGACTTTGAATGAGGCCCTGGATGCAGATGCACTGATTAAAAGATAAAATTAGGAGAGAAGAATACATGAGAGAAGGATCACAGCTTAGCTCCTCAGGGGTGGAGGCCATAGCCCTAAGGTTATGGGGTGCCAGGTCAGCACAAATCCTGACACAAAGGGCAGTGGAAGGGAGAGAAGCTTTAGGATGTGAAGTGGGAAAAGTCTCTGGTCCAAGGCTGTGAAACACCCGTCTTCTGTTGTGGCCCCAACATCTGAGAGAAGCCTATGGACAGTCCAGGGGTGTCATGGCCCATCAAGGACCCTGCTACGGACACTTTGCCTTATCAACCCCTTCCATCTGCTGAAACCATGGAACAGGGGGTCACACATGTGACCATCACAACCACAAACACAAGAAACTGCACCTGCTTTAAAAAGGCGGATCAGAGGAGGTTCCATGCTAAACAGCTCCTGGAAAAGTTTGAATGTGTGTAAATGCCTATGAATAGACATTAAGCTGATGCAACATGAAAAGTATTTAAAGAGGTCTCTGTCAATAGCAGGTGTGTGCTTTTGGCAAATCGTCAAGAACCCAGCACCCCCTCCAGCACTGTATCCTTTTGAGTTTTTGCCCCCTATTGTAATTTATTAAACTTTTAAATAGTAACAGGACAGTGAACCTCGTTTTTCACAATAGTAAAGAATTTYTTCCCAATATACAGTTTTAGCCCGCCTTCTTTCCATTTGAATCCATTCCCTCTTGCCTATCACTCCTTAACCTTTACTAGAAAGTAAACCATTACTTTCTAGATTTCCCCTCATTTATAAGGCCTTAATTATTAGACATCTCCTTATAAATAAAGCTCCTTCTTGAAAGGCAACAATTAGGTCACACCAGAGCCTCCTTCTTTTGAGGCCAAACAATCCCAATTCCCTTAGCCTCTCCTTCAAGCAGGGGAACTCCATTCTGCAAACCACCTTTGTGTCCCTTCTCTGGACTCTCTGCACAAGGCCATTTCCTTCCTGTGCTGGGGATTCCAGAGCTGGATGCAGCACTGCAGATGGGAGAATGCAGAAATGTCTGTAAATATTCAGTAGTTAACATTTGGTTTTAGTTCCAATCTCGAAAAGGCAATGTATTTTCTTGAATGTAATTTCTTAAAGGTRCTTTGAAAATCCCTGTGGTGGTGCTACCTTCGAAAGAATAAACAGAGCAGAGATTGAGGTTGCAGCCTTTGAATTCTTGGAATAATTTTGCAGGCTTCATGCCTTTATTTTATGAATGATTAGGCAGCCTTTTTTTCAGAAACAATTTGAAGTTGCAAAGGTTTACATATAAAAAAAAAAGAGTTATTGCGGGAGAGATGTGATCAATGAAGTTGTTTTTGCTTMAGCAATAAACTATGTTTGGATAGGCCAGATAGAGGCAGGAATATTAGGTAGAGTTCTTGGTTCAGTTTTATTTCAGGAGAAAACATTACTCCAGATTCCAGAGTATGTAGGAAGTCTGTAAAGAAAAACATAGATTAAAAGGAGTCARAAATAAAAGCCAAAGAAAAATAAGCTGTTGACTGAGATGTTATTGACTGGTGGAAGAAAACAGTGTGTTCTGCAGTTGTTTACAGCATGGCATGGTGCAAGAAAAGGTGTGCCAGTGGATGCCTTATGCAATGCATACATGCCACAAATTCAGAACATGACAGGCAGCAGTTCTGGTCAAATTTTAGGKTTCTMTTTATTTTTCTTTSTTTATTGTCTTTGAGATARTWGTWAAGATAAAGCAYAGCTTTGAAATCCAAGCCTAAACAGTACATTACAATTCTTTTTCAGAAAGGCTGGTTGTGATGTTTTATGACTCCATCAGCAGTACAGTCCATGTAACTTTATAATTTAGTATCAATGTTCAAAACTGCTTATTTATTATTGAGTCAACACGGCTAAAGGAATTGGTCTCAGATTTTATAAACTATTTTTAAAATAAAGTCTTTCAATTGCCTATAGAGAAGACACTCTAAAGAAAACAAATACAAAAAAACCCCTCAACCTGACACAAAGTAAGGAAGAATTCATAGCTTCTATGTTTCATCCAACACAGCATGCCACATTCATACTTGCTCAGAGTCACTTTAAGCACAGCTGATATTCTGTTGCGGAATTTCAATGCAATAAAGCAGAAAAARTGCATCTTTCCTACTCTTCAGATGGGATTTCACAGTCTGCCTGCTAGTTCAAKAGAAGTGACATTCATTCCTCAGGTTGGCTTCCTCCTCACTTCYCCAATGTTTACTTGAATTACTTCTGTGGTCTTAATCCCTAAACAGAGGTATAGAGCTCTCAGATTCACTAAAATAGTGATTTATGTAGTTTATTTTAAAGTCCCTGAATGCTCGAAGTATTGTAAAAATTATTTCAAATTTCTTAGAAAGTGTGCTTGCAGCACTTTATAAGCAATTATGATTCAYCATCAACATAATTGGTTGGGAACAGACTTTCAGCTTGGACAGATACCTGCTTCATCAGAGATTGACAAACAGCTCTGGAGAAACAAAACAAACGTCACAGAGTTCTTAAAATATCTTYGTAGCCCCCACTTTCTTTCTCCTCCTTAAGGTTAAGGAAACCCATCATTTCATTGTTATTGCTGCTGTTTGTTATGAAGCCTCTAATAGAAATCAAGGGTTTTTTTTTCCCCTTCATTTTCCTTTTCTAAATTCAACAAAATTCTGTGAGGTATAAAGAATAACCAAGAGCTGTGTATGGTGGAAGCTTCACAGTTCCGTGCCCTCCTCATGGCCTTGATTGGATCTACACATAATGATGCTTCACAATTTCAATTGCTGTTATTTCCTGTAGGAAGATTATGGAACAAACAAAGTTACTATAGTTTATCAGTACAGAAATATTTTCATCTCAAACTCACGTGCCAGAAAGGAACACGAGTGAAAAAGTTTTGTGACATGGCTGGATTTGTCTGCAGTACTTTTTCTTTGGCCTTTGCTCTGTTCTGCTGTGTCAGGGAGAAGGTAATCACTAAATATTGGAGCATGGACAATGAACAAARTGAAAGGTGTCTTGGTTTGACCAGSTGCTGTTGTGCAGAGCTGAGGAGTCCACAGGGACTTACAGATCATTGTTTGCAGGTTCTTCATRKGTGATCTCTGGGAGCTCACATGAGKCAGAGGGAATGGACAATGTGATAGCAGGAGAAATTTAGGATTGACAGGAGCTCAGTAATGTGCTCGGCAAAGCGTCACTTGAATCATCTGGATTAACTGTAACCACTCAGGAAAAGAACCCTGGCTAACCTCTTTTGGGGAASAATAAAACAACCCGTTGGAGGGAGGGAGGCAGACAAAAACACCATACAGAAGGGAAAAATGTACTGCCCTTCATTTAATGACTGTGTCATACTCACTAAAAAGGTGTTTGAGTGTATTGCTGATCTAAAAGAAAAGGACCTTCACACATTCATCTGGCATTTATTACTGGCAGTTTATACTATTGATTATTGAATACACTGCTTGACAAACAGTAATTTAGTTAAGAGAACTTTGCCAAACAGGGGAAGAAAACACTAGCACATCCAATTATTTATTATTGCTGTTTCAGAGGAAAATCATTCTATCATGGCTAATACAACTTGCTTGTTCTCTTGACCAAGTCTGCTTCCTCCTTTACTGAGGAAAACAATAACCACAGCCATTTATTTCTTTGGACCCACTTCCAGTTTATGGAAACAGAAAAAACTGTTGCATTGTTTAAAAGAAATAAATTACCATTGTTAAGTGAACCAAAATTAAATTTCAGATATTTATGTTTGTAGTTATTTTTTTATATCCAGCATATATATATATATATATATATATATATATATATATATACATGGCAAATAGGTATATTACATTTTTGTGTTTTGTCAAGCACAAAAAAACAATAATGCACTTCTAGACATATAGTATAGTTATAGTAGAGCTTGTTCCTGCTCAGATCAGTATTTTTTTGCTGCTGACCATTTCAGGACCTTGCATCTCTTGCATGATGCTGCTGCCTCAGTCCCCTGTGGCAAAAGCTCATCTGAAATTTCAGACTCCAAGTATGCAGCTCCTCATATTTGTTATATTTATCATCATGGTGATTCCCAGTTACTTTGGGTATGCTAATATACTGGAAAAGATGAAATGTGGATATCGCTCTTAATTTCACMCAGATGGCTCAAA